CGGAGCGTAAGTGGCGCGGCCTGAAGCGCCCCCGTGTGGCCGCGCACGCAACCTCTGGGTAGCAGAGGAAGCCTGTGGGAAAACCAGTTGAGGAAGGAATATTTTTTAGTGTCTAAAAGGAGGCATACCCCCCTCCTCTCTCCTCTGTCTGTCTGTCTGTCTGTCTGTCTGTCTGTCTATCATCTATCTGTCTGTCTGTCTGTCTGTCTGTCTATCATCTATGGCAGGGTCTCATCATGAAGGTTTGGCTAACCTGGAACTCTCCAATGTAGACCTGGTGGCCTCCACCTCACAGAGATTCCTCTGTTGGGATTAAAGTGTGCCCCACCCCCACCCCGTATGTTTTTGAAGGGATAATTTTGTGGTAATTCTGAATTGGTGCAGAAGTTGCAATGTATCAAAGGGGTATGAGGTGATGGTGTGTTCCACCTCCTGTTCCCTCTGTGCGAGCCACTTTCAACATTCATAGCCCATTTCCTACTGAGCTAGAGATGGAAGAGATTAGGGCAGGAAGGTGCTGTGCATCCCAGGTCCAGCATCCTTTGCATTTCACAGTGGCAGACCTTGTTCCCTCATCCTGAAAGATGTAGGAATTCCTATCTTTGCCTAGAATTCCAGATTTGCTTGTATTCTCTTTTAAAGCTTCATACAGTAAAATCCCAAAGCAATAAAGTGGGCCATTGTGAGCTCTGACAAAGGAAATCTACCTAACCCCTATGAAGAAGGTTATTCACTAGAAAATCCCAGGAGGACCCTACCTCGTCCCCTCACCCACACAAAGGCAAACCAGCATTGGGCTGTTGCTGAAATCCCTTCCCTTGGGGAGAAGGATGGCTACCTACTTCCTCCTAGGATCCCATCCACAAACTAAAGTCCACCAAAGACTATGAATTTATTGGTCTTACAGAGCAAAGGGTAGGGGGTCATAGGCAGGGGTGTCGCTGACCTTAAAGCAGCCACACTGGAAATGTGCACTCAGTAGAGATGGTAACGTCCGGCTGTACAGATGGGAGCCCCCTTCCCTTTCCCACCTATGTCCTCTAGTGCCTCTCAGAGCTCCCAAGGCCACGTTGGTAGAATTAGGGCAAGATTACTTACTACTGGTTGGGAGGGATGGCTGAATATTCAGGTGAGGGTCCCATGAGCTTCCCTGGTCCCTTGGAAAAGGGAAGGCCAATAGTCAACAAGCCCATCTATGATGGTCTTTATCGAGCAGGTCCAGCCGAACTCCTGAAGATGAAGGCAGTTTTTCTTGGAGGAGTCTTGTACAACTGCTGTGTGGTGGTTTGAAAGAAAATGGCCCCCAAAGGGAGTGGCACTAATGGGAGGTATGGCCTTGTTGGAATAGGTCTTCCTGGAGAAAGTGTGTCATTGTGGAGGCAGGTTTTAAGGTTTCATATATGTTCAAGCCACACCCAATGAGCCAGATCACTTCCTGTTGCCTACCTATGAAGATGTAGAATCCTCCAGCGCCATGTCTGCCTGCCCACAGCCATACTCCTAGCCACCATGTTCCCCACCATGATGATAAAGGACTAAACCTCTGAAACTGTAAGCCACCACCTCAATTAAATGTTTTTGTTTATAAGAATTAACATGGTTGGGCTGGAGAGATGGATCAGAGGTTAAGAAAACTGACTGCTCTTCCAGAGGTCCTGAGTTCAGTTTCCAGCAGCCACACGGTGGCTCACAACAATTTGGAATGAGATCTGGGGCCCTTTTCTGGATGCAGTCAGAACACTTAAATACATTTTAAAAAGAAAAAAAAAAGTTGTCATGGTCATGGTGTCCCTTCACAGCAACAGAAAACCTAAGACAAGCTGTTTGTGGTTGGAAGGGTTACTCCTTTGTGAGTTGCCTTTTGTTTGTTTGTTTTGTTTTGTTTTTTGAGACAGAGTTTCTCTGTGTCACTTTTGGAGCCTGTCCTGGAACTCACTTTGTAGACCAGGCTGGCGTTGAACTCACAGAGATCCACCGGCCTCCCGAGTGCTAGGATTAAAGGCCTGTGCCACCACAGCCTGGCATGAGTTGGCTCTTTTCATTTGGAGCAGTGTATGCACAATCTATTTATCACGTGACTGCTTGGTGGTTGTTTGGGCTCTCCCATCTCCCATTGTCTTAGCTAAAGATTTTCTTGCTGTGAAGAGACACCATGAGCACGGCAACTCTTATAAAGAAAGCACTTAATTGGGATGGCTTGCTTACTGTTTTAGAGGTTCGGTACATTATCATCATGGTGGGAAGCATTGTGGCTGGGAATATGGCAGTGTGCAGACAGACATGGTGCTGGAGCTGGGAGCTACATCTTGACCAGAAGACAACAGGAAGTCAACTGACAGTCACACTGGGGGAAGCTTGAGCAAAAGAGACCTCAAAGCCTGCCCCCACAGTGACACACTTCCTCCAACAAGGCCATACCTAATAGTGCCACTCCCTTTGGGGCCATTTGCTTTCAAAGCACCACACCCATGCATGTAAGAATTGGGTAAAGGTCATGTACACTTAGTTCTGAAGGGATTGCCAGACCTTTCCAGATGCAATGTTATACCCTTCTTGCCCTCTTGCCCACTGCACCACACCCCCCCCTGTGTGTGTGTGTGTGTGTGTGTGTGTGTGTGTGTGTGTGTGTGTGTGTACAGGGTCTCACCATGTAGTGTATGCAGCCCAGGCTGACCTGGAACTCAGTTAAGACTGGTCAGCCTCTACTTCTGGAGCAATGGGATTAAAGGTGTGTGCCACCACACTGGGCTCCTTGCCCAGAGATCTAGCCATTCTGAGCAAGGGATTGAAATCTGACCAATCCCCACCCTGGAAATCTCCCTGGAACTCTCCACCCCTAAGAAGCCCTATATAAACCCTGTACCTGTTCAGCTTCTGGCTGTTCAGTCTGCCTGTCTTCTGCCTCCCTGGAATTCTTCCTTCCCAATAAATTTCTTGAATGAGGTTTGGGTGAAACATTCTTCAGCTGGAGCAAAGATGACCCTGGCCCTGGCAGAGCAGGGCAGGGCTGTAACATTTTTCGCTGGGGAAGGTTGTTACACACAGCTCTCCTGGGGGCTGGAGCTGAAGTGTAACAACTTTGCCAGGGAAATCCTATCCTGCTGGAGCAGAGCTGATACACTGAGGATGCCTTTCCCTGAAGCAGGGCTGTAAGCTGCTATGCTTACTGTGACCTGTGGTATTCCTTGGCTCCAGATGGCCAGAATACCTTTCTATCTGAGCTGTAACACTCAGTATTCTTTTGGCTCCTGAGTGCCATAATCCATCCCTGTCCATCCCATCAGAGCCATGGAAATGCTTACGTTCACCATGAGCAGTAATGGAAACATTTTTTGCATTTTGTTTCTTTCCCACAGTATCTTAGGGATTTTTCTGATGTAGTGTACACAGACTGTCCTGGTTCCTTTATGGAGGACAAAGTTGTTGTCACACCCCCCCCCCCACACACACACACACAGCTGTGGTGCCAGTAGCCAAGGCTGGCCTCGAACTCATGATCTTCCCCTCAGCCTTGTGAACACTAGGATTACAAGCTCAAAGGATGGAATCATCTTCCATTCCATTTACTCCATAAGGCTATTTGCTGGTACAATGTAGTATCAGATGAATTGATCCCAGGTTTCTGCCACAGTGATGTGGGCACTGCCAGCAATGGAGCAACTGCAGCAGTTGAGACTAGGGCCTGGTGAATGTTGAAGCCCAGGCTGGGCTTTTGCTAACCCTAGGAAGCATGCTCTTCCCCAGGGCCCAAGCCACCCCACAGAACAGAAATGAGGCTCCTTGGTCTTCCTTAGACTCTCCTGAGGCTGTCATCCAATCCAGCCAGGGCAGGCTGGGCTGCAGGGAAGCAGTAGGAAGGAGAGCAGAGTATAGGAACAGAGGTACAGGGAGCACAGGGAACCCTGGCTTACTATTTGTCTCATTGCAGTATAAGGGTTTACTCTTGCTCAGTCCACTGTGGTGGAGGCAGCAGAAGTTTGAAGCAGTTGCTCACACTGTATCCATAGTTGGATTACTGCCCCTGCTCAGCTAGCTTTCTCCAGTGCCCAGCCAATGAGATGATGTCCTCATATAGGGTGGGCCCGCCTACCTCAACCTGATGAAGAAACTCCCTCACAGGTATGCGGAGGTGAACCTCATCTAAATAATCCTTTGCAGGCATCCCCACGGTCCCTTCCCTGGTGACCCTAGGGCCTGTTACACCGGTAGACCTGGACCCTCTATCTATGTCATCCCAACTAGGTCCCAGGAGAGGTAGGACACCAGCAGCCAAGCAGTAGAAAAGGAGACTTGGACAGAGGCCAAGCCTGACACGTTAAACCAAACTGCTGCTGTAATGGGCCGTTGACTTCTGCAGACAGGCTGGCTCTGGCAGATGTAGCCTCAAGACAGCAAGAGGCTCCCTAAAGTGGGAGGTTTTCTTTTCTTTTTTCTTTTTTTCTTTTTGGTTTTTTCGAGACAGGGTTTTGGAGCCTATCCTGGCACTCGCTCTGGAGACCAGGCTGGCCTTGAACTCACAGAGATCCACCT